CTCCCGGCGTGGGGCATGTCGGCCTTCCCGTGGAGGGACTGGGCGAGGCGGGGAGCGAGAGGCAAAGGAAGAAAAGCAAGAAATACTCGAAGCTTGAGGTTTACTTGCCCGCAGGTGTGTGTAGCCACCGCCTTTCCCCGGCTTCAGCTTTTCTGCAGCTGGTTCTCTGGATAACCAGTGGCTGTTGGTCGCCACGCACCATCCAGGAAACCCCCCGCCTGTCCCGGCGTGCCCACCTTCTCCCAGTGTTTCCCCCCTGCCTTGACCTGCTTCCAGGCCTGCCTTGCCCGGGGAGCTCCCCAGAGAACCTGGGCTTCGGGGTCTGGTGAGGCTGGGGTGGGGACGTGGAAGCCGCCCGGGGACGGCGGCGGCACACCCGGGGGGCCTTCTGAGCCCGCTTTCCCCTTTGCATTACTAAACTTCCCCCTGTCTTTTCAGTTCTTAAGTGTTGTTTGGAGTTGTGGCCTATCAAAAATGCTGTTTGTGTGAAGTTCATTTGTTGAAATGCTGGATGGAAATCGTTTATTTGATGAGATTGGAATGGGAATTTTGCCTTGTTAAATATTGTCAATAGACGAAGCCAGTTAAGTATTTGTACGTTAATATGTTTTGTGGTAGGCTTTGTGTTTGTTTAAAGTAGAAACTTACCTGTTTTAACTAGGTATGGATGGCGGAGCAGAAAATATCATATGACAAGAAGAAACAAGAAGAATTAATGCAACAGTATCTTAAAGAACAGGAATCCTATGATAATAGGTGAGACTTGGTGTAAGTTCACATACTTTTTCCTGCTGTCTCTCATTTTCACGGCAGTGAAGGACATCTCATTGTGAGTTATTTGAAATACTGTCTCCCACTGACCGTAGTAGTTGGGGAGGACAGTGACTCATAAATTGATGTCTGATTAAGCAGAGGTCACAATAACTTCTTTCAAATGGCTTGTGTGTGTCTTGTAATTAATTTCAAAATATGTTATGTTGTATGGAACAGCAGGTAACCTTCTATAGCGATGTATTTGCATCACACAGAAGTCTGTCCTCCATAATTCTGTGGACTCAAAGTTATGTTTCAGTTGTGACTGAAATGTGTGATTTTTGGCATGCAATGGAGTACGCAGAAGTATTGACTGATATCAGGGCTTTTTTACATTCAACTTCCAGTACTCAAATTAACAAATGGGAGAAATGCCAGTCATTATCACAATCTCCTGCTGCACATTTCTTCTTTCTTCTTTTTTTTTTTTTTTTTAATAAGTAATACCAAAGTGAATGTGCCATGTGTAACACTCCCAAACTCTGTTCTTTTTATTTAGATTGCTTATGGGTGATGAGCATGTGAAGAATGGTCTTAATTTCATGTATGAGGCCCCACCTGGAGCAAAGAAAGGTATTCCAGTTTCCTGATCATAAGCAGACAGTACTGCAAAGCTAAAAACCCTCTGAAGAAATAAGCATACAGCCTTTTATTTTAAAATAATGTATTCATAGTAAGGTAATGCTAGGAGGTATGATTTTTAGTCCTTCCTATGCAAATATGTAAAGATATATAGTATGTAATAAGTTCGATCTCACAATATCTTAATTTTTTTCAAACTGAGAATGGTGGTTGTGGGTTTTTTGGAGTGGTTTTTTTTTTTTAAGCAACAGTTCAATGTGAAGGGAAAAACAGATAAAATACCTTTCCTGGCAACAGCAGAAATTCTGTCCTTGACCAAAGGTGTTTATTTAACCAATTATAAAGCCATTGGGTGAGGAGGACTAGACCTTACCAAGGCAATGGCTCAAACAACACAAATCCATATTTTGGATTTTGCTACTTTTGCAAAAGAAGTTGGAAGGTTTTTTTTGTATTTGCATAGCAAATCAAGATAGCTTTAAAAGATGATTCTGGTTTTATAGGATTTGTAACCATATGCTAGAGGCTGATTATTTATAACTGCGGTGTATTTAAATACTTTCTGAGTATTTGCACTATTGTATTAGTATAAAACATAAAATGTTTTGTTTCCAGATTAAACACCAGCTGCATTTTACATGTATAATTAATGTATCATTTCTTTTCTTTCCATGGTTTCTGAAAATTCGAAGAGGAAACTAAAGAGGTATTTCATTACATCCTTTCTTTGTGTTTTCTTCCTAGTGACTTAAAATGTATTAAAAAAATATCAAACTTACCATGTTTTCTGTTTTATAGCAAGAAGGAGAGACTGAATACAAATTTGAATGGCAAAAAGTTGCCCCTCGAGAAAAGTAAGATGTCTGGATTTTATTGGAATAAACTTTTTTTCCTTCTCACTTCCCTTTCATGTCCTTTTCTTTTTTTTTTTTTCCTTTTTTTCCCCTTTTTTATTTTTGAGCAGGTCACTCGTATATTCTTGTCATGTCCTGGCAGTTAATTAGTAAAACCTGTGAACCTGGAACTATTCCCTTGATCGGTTTAGTTTTTGTTTTCATTTTACTTCCATGTTTGAAAACACATTCAAACTAAAGTTTACTGGAAGTATATCCTGCAGTGGATACACACTTAACAATAAAAGGTAGTTTTGTATATGATGGTTTATAAAAAAAAAAAAAAAATAGTGAATTGAGTATTTGTTTTCCTTTTGTGTTTGTGTAACAGATATGCTAAGGATGATATGAATATCAGAGATCAGCCATTTGGTATCCAGGCAAGTTACATAAATTTCACTCTGTGGATGTCTTGGGTATATTTCAAATATTATCTAACTGCAGAACATTCACATGGACTCTCTTAATTTTATCATCTGTTTCTCAGTGAGTTTAAAAGCTTCTCTTGTGCCTAATAACATAGACATTTCTGTAAATGTTAAGCTCTGTTGTTAACTAAATTAGTCTTTCCCCCCCCCCCCCCCCCCCCCC